CGGCGTACCTACATGGATACGTAGTAGGTACCTACCATTGCACCTACGCGCCAATTTAACAGCGACCAATCGTCGCCCCCGCAGTAGGAAATGGGTTGCAAATCGGAGAATCAGGATTTATTGCGCAATTAAACGTCCCAGCTTACGACTTCCTTCGCGATTCCATACCGCGCAAACTCACCCCGAAGGCGTGCAGATCTTTCGTACTTTTTACGAGGCCAGACCCCCGCCGGTTAATAAATTTCGCGTGAGCTTCATTATCGTTGGATTTCGTGTAAACATAAAGGGAAGTGTCGATTAAAACTGATTTATGTGTTATATCTTGAATCGCAAACAACATTCGACTCCGGGTTTCGGATAATCGGTAACGTGTGATATAATAAATTCCGCGTGTACTTGTGAAAATTTGCGATTATCGGAATGCAGGAAAATATCGAACCTTGAATTCTAGGGCTTCGATGTGAAATCAAAATTATTGCACTTACGGAAGTCAAATTTTGTATTTGGAATATAAATGGAATGTGAAGAAGTGATTAGAAAAGAAATGGTAAAATTTTACGGTCGAGAAAAGTTTCAAAATATCACTAAATTTTCGATATTGTTAACATAAAAGTTTTATGTCAGGTCTGAGTAAACAACTCGTGAATAGAATTAAAGACACCTCTTGTTTATACTCAAATACGTTTGAACGTCGCCTTAAAACTTTCACTCTCATCTAAAAAAGCTATATAAAAAGTGAAAAGCACTTGAAAGAGAATTGAATATTTTTGAAAATTGTGACTTCACGTACAAATTCCAATATTATGAATCAGGATGCATATGAGTATAAATCACTGTAAAATTGAAAAAATTTCATTTGTAACATTATAGAATACATGAAAATTTTTTACTATATACGTTATAACGATATTATGGCGGTATCTCCGATGAACCAACTGGCGAAACATGAACCTGCATACCGCAGTTTCCCTATCTAATTAATTTCTCCGCGCTGCATCAAATTACTCGATGAAATCGACGAAAAGCCTCGCGGCCGATCGCTCTGCAAAGATAAAATCAAATTCTGCAAAACGTTTCTATTCAACGCGGTTCACGGGATAAACGAATTGAGAATCGACAGCACAATTGGGTGCACCGACAGAGAGGCAGGGGGATACTGCCACTGGGCTAATTAACAAGCGTTAATTGCTTGTGCGTGCCTATACACCCATCTGAAGCGGCGGTGCGTGTATTCAGACGCGAGCTGTCACGGCAATTCGCTACGATCGTTCGTGCAATTCGCACGTCAGTCACGTGTGAACGAACACACGTCTTAGCACATTGGCCAGCAAAAGCACACGTGTGCCATTCGATGATGCACATCTCGCACCCCGAGGCTCGATCGTTTTCGACCTCTTCGATCAGAATGTGTGATTAATTGAAACACCGTCCCGTATTTCGTTTGCTCATAAATCAAAAGCTTTAACGTAAATGGCTGTACGCGTTCACAATGCGTTATTGCTCGCAACTAAATGTACTCTGTTAACCCTAGGACTCCTTCGGGAGGTTTTCCGAATCGAACAATTTTCGTTTTTGTAAACAATTCTCGAGGGATTGATTACTGTGAAAAATAGCATGCATAAGAAAACAAACTATGTGTCGTGATACTGGCGATCACACGAAGCAGACAATTTTTATCTCCGAGGAAAAAACGAACCGCATAACGAAGAATCGAAGTAACTAATCGGAAAGGAACGACATTCAAGCATTTGATGAACGAGGCACTTTGCTATTCATGCATGACGTCAGAAGAATTACATTCAAAGCAGTAGCATGTTGGTACACTATTGTACAATACTATTTTATACAAATGCAGACGTTATAAAATTTTCCAAAAAGAAAAAAGAACAATGTTTTTTTGAGGCAAATGTGTAAGAAAAAATATCAGTTCGAGGAACCCGGAGGAGTTGTAGGGTTAAAGCTTGCAAGATATTGCGTGCAAGGAGAGAAAAATCGATTGCAAAAGGAACGGTTGATATCGTATTAGCGTCGATGTTTCATTCATTTACGAGTTAGTATATGTGGTAAAGCACGTGTTGCGAATCCGAAACTAACTGTACGACCTAGTCAGCTTTTAGTACGCTCGATTTGAACGATTGCGCCAACTAGCGATATAGGTACTTGTGCGTTAACACGTTTTGTATTGTCAGCGGTGAGAAGCATTGAAAACTGTACCGGGATTGATCTTCCGAGTAAATTTCAACCGGCATTCAAACGTTAACCATAAAGTTCTAACAAACGTGACCCGTGCACGTATTTGAATATGGACTTAGGTTGACAATAAGTCACGATTCGATTAGCCCCTTTGCCGCAACATCGGAGGGAGTAAGTTGCACGAGTGTATCTTATCGTAAACTCACGCCTCCTCTTCTTCCCCTGGAATTGCTTTCCGCCGCTGGTTCCAGACAACTCGTATCATCGGATATACGCACTGCGTGGGTGTACGGAGCCGCTGTTAAAGGTGCACCCCATATTGTGTATACTTTTAACGACCATTGCTCCCAACTGTATCAATTTGCGTCGCTACCTGCTCGTGTTTCTAATTTTTCCAGTAAATGTGCTCATTTCGCACGAGTATTTTCTAACGTTGAACTGTGTGAAGTGGAAATATTGTGCCATTTGAAATTTATTAAATTTTTCCCCGTTTTTGTAGTAAGTGTGATTATTTCACGCAAGTATTGTCCAACGTTGAACGATGTGAGAAATTTTCAAATTAAATATAATTTGCAAGTTTGGATTAATAATTATATAATACACACGCAAATGAAGAGAAATTTCATTGGAACAGCGAACGACGAGTGGAACGGAATTACAAAGATTCATGGACCAATTTGTAAAGTGAGAATGCACTTAAATTAACCGTCGGAACATTCCGAAGACCATATTTGTAGGAAAGATATGAAAGAGACGTAACACTTTAGCGGGCTGAGATAACCGAGTCGATGAAACGATACGCCTTTTTCTCGGGTCCATCAGGTACTTGAAAATCAGAACAGAATTTCAGATCGCAATCTTCACAGGTTATAATAACGGTGCTATCTGGACATCATCCCGTCCCAATGATCCGCATTCCGGGCAATGTCGTGTTCAGAAGATTGCTTACTCCGCTGTTTAATACGTACGTTCGAGGTCTGTCGATCGGCTCCCAAAGTGGAATCGCCGCCATTCTCGCGATGGACTCCCTGGGTGCCAGTAGTCGGCTGATCGGTCGGCCCTCCGGTGATTTGGAGAAAAAGGGCGGAGAAGAGGGTGGAGGGTAGAGGCCTTCCTTTCCGCGGAGTTGAGGATGAAGATTGTTAGTTTTGTTACACCAGTACTGCGGTGGTGAATGCCCCAGGGCGGCAAAAGGCGGTTGCTGCTTTCTGAGAACGGGTTGGAGTTAGCCGCACCGGGAGCGGTGATTGCGTGGTGATTAGCCTCCACCTTCGCCTCTTTGGATCGACTCGAACAACGGCGAACGAAGGAAAAGAGGAAAAAGGCGAAAAG